TCATCCTGAGGCCGAGTCCCGCATACAGCAACTAGAAGGATGTGCAGCTACGACATACAACTATCCACTGGGGCTTTGGGGGGAAAAAAAATAAATAAATAAAATCTTTAAAAAAAAAAAAGAAAAAATAAAGTAAGTCTCTTCTTCACAGCATATAGTTGAATCATGAGTTTTTATCATTCTACCAATCTCTGTCTTTTGATTGGAGAGTTTAATCTATTTACATTAGAGTAATTACTGATAATGGGGTCTTACTTCTGTCGTTTGCTATTTGGTTTCTATATGTCTTATAGCTTTTTTGTTTCTCATGTCCTGCATAACTGCCTTCTTTTGAAACACAAAAGAAGTCAACTAAACAAGTTGACTTTTTTAGAGTGAAAAGTTTAAATTTCTTTTTCATTTCCTTTTGTCTATATTCTATAATTATAGAATAGTTTGTGATTACTGTGGGGGTTACATTTAACACCCTAAAATTATAACACTAATTTAAATTTTTACCAGCTTAACTTCAGTAACGTATAAATACTGTGCACCTTTACAGCTCTATCTTCACCCCTTTCAGTTGATGTCACAAAATTACACCTTTATGCATTGTGTGCCCAAAAACATAATCTAATAATTCTTTATGAATAATAAATATATGTAAATATAAATAAATTATGTAGAAAACAAAATATGGAATTACAAACCATTGTTACAATAATATTAGCTTTTATAATTGCCCAATGATTTACCTTTATTGAGATCTTTATTTCTTCATATGGCTTCAGATTACTGTCCTTTCATTTCACCCTGCAGGATTCCCTTAAGCATTTCTTGCAGGGCAAGTTTAGTGGTAATGCACTCCTTCAGCTTCTGTTTATCTGGGAATGTCTTAATTTCTCTCTCACTCTTTTTTTTTATTTTTTATTTATTTACTTATTTATTTATTTTTTTTGTGAAGAAGATCAGCCCTGAGCTAACATTCATGCTAATCCTCCTCTTTTTGCTGAGGAAGAACGGCTCTGAGCTAACATCTATTGTCAATCCTCCTCCTTTTTTTCCCCCAAAGCCCCAGGAGATAGTTGTATGTCATTGTTGCACATCCTTCCAGTTGCTGCATGTGGGACGCGGCCCCAGCATGGCCAGAGAAGCGGTGCCTCGTTGTATGCCTGGGATCCAAACCCGGGCTGCCAGCAGCGGAGCGCGCACACCTAGCCGCTAAGCCACGGGGCCGGCCCTATCTCTCACTCTTGAAGGCCAGATATAGGATTTTTGTTTGACAGTTTCTTTTGGCCTCTAAAGTTCCTGATGAGAAATCTGCTTATTATCTTATTGAGGATCCCTTGTATGTGATGATTCACTTCTCTTGCTGCCTTCAAGATTTTCTCTTTATCTTTGGCTTTTGAAGGTCTGATTGTAATGTATCTCAGTGTGGATCTCTTTGACTTCATTTTACTTGGAGTTTGTTGAGCTTCTTGGATGTTTATATTCATGTCTTTCATCAAGTTTGGGAAAATTTCAGCCATTATTTCCTCAAATATTCTCTCTGCCCTTTTCTCTCTCTCTTCTTCTTCTGGGACTTCCACAATGCCTATGTTTGTCTGCTAGATGGTGTCCCACTGGTCCCCAAGGTTCTGTATACTTTTCTTCAATCTTTTTTCTTTCTGTTCCTCAGGCTCGACAATTTCCATTGTCTTATCTTCAAGTTCATTGATTCTTTCTTCTACCTACTCTAATCTAAAAATTTCTAATGAATTTTTCATTTCAGTTATTATAATTTTCAGCTCCAGAATTTCTTTTTAGTATTGGTAGGTTTTCTGTCTCTTTATTGATATTTCTGTTTTGTTCATACATTGTTTTCTTGACTTTCTCCACATCTTCTTTTAGTTATTTGAGCATTCTCAAGACAGTTCTTTTAAAGCATTTTTCTAGTTAGCTTAAATATAAATATGGATTACAGCAAAATAATTTGACAGTTGTCCATTCACCTTGATCCAGTTAAATCACTGTGGGAGTGTAGCCAAGGAAATAAATAAAACCAAAGTCTGTTGTACTATTAATTGGAAAGTTGGAAACAACATGCTCTTCTACAACAGTAGAATTAAGTAGCACCTATCCATATGATAAAATATTGTCCAGCTTTTAATTTATGAAATACATTAATAATATAAAGAAGTTCTTATAATGTCAAATAAAAAGAGCCAGATAAAAAATTGTATGGTTCTTATAATCATTATTGTTTAAAAAATATTAACAGAGATCCTACAAAAAATACACTAAAATATTAAGTTTTTGTCTTTGATGATGGAATTATAGATGACTTTTAAAAATTCATCTTTTGTCTCTTTTCCAAATACGTATTCCTCATTGAGCATGTATTACTTTTTTCATAATAAAAACAAACTTTATTAAGTAAAATATATATTGGTGCACAGCTATAAGTAATGTAGAGATATAACTGTAGTGTTGTTTTCGTGTTAATTTGAATCCCTCCACGACAGGAAATGATAAAGCCTTCAACTGGTGGTGGCTGAAGGGTCTGGCTTTAGCATTATTCTGCCTGAATTCTCTTCCTTTGTCAGTTTGCTTCAGCATTATTTTTTCTTACTCTTTCTTCTCACTGCTTCCTTGTCCACTCTAACAAAAATGAGTAATTGATTTTTTTTCCTTCTCAGCATACCCAGTTGTTGTCTATGGACCCCCACCAGAGGGATATAGAGCCCCCCCGGAGGGATATGGAGCCCCGCCTCCTGGATACGGAGCCCCGCCTGCAGGATATGGAGCCCCACCTGTGGGATATGGAGCCCCACCAGTAGGATACGTAGCCCCACCTGCAGGATATGGAGCCCCACCAGTGGAATATGGAGCCCCATCTGCAGGATATGGAGCCCTACCTAGTGGAAATGAAGCCCCACCTCCAAGAGATGAAACTGCACCTGCTGGAAATAGAGCTGAATCTCACAAATCGGTGGCAGCTCAACCTGCTGGGTCTTTGGCTTCTCTTCCCTCTGCCTCATCTTCTCAGGCTCATTTACTACCTTCTAAGAAGTAAAATTTGAAGATTCACCAAGCAAAGTGGCGCCCTAAAACTGAAGTCAGGATAAGAAGGAGGACTCAGGTATGTGATTAAAGGTGTCTCAGGTAGTTGTTCCATCCTTTGGAAGGGGAAAGTGAAGCTTTACTTCCATGCCTAGATTTTAGAAGCAGAGTCAGTTCCTGATTAGACAGGCTAAAGAAGTAGAATTGTAGGGCTAATTCCCCCATAATTTGGTTGACATCAGGCTGCATTTTTTAACATGCCTTGAATGTCAGTGTGGAAGAACCTTCCTGCCTTTCTCCCCTCTGCCATTCAAGAAACACTTATGGTGCTTAGTTTGCTAGGCCCTAAGATATATATTAGAAATATCAAGTGGAACACTTAGTTGTTTTCCACAGCATTATTTATATTAATGAAAGGATGGAACAACCTAAATTTCTAATAATGAGAGAGAATTTCATAAATTATGGTATATCCATACAATGGAATATTATACAGCCATTGAAAATGATGAGGTAGAGAAAGCCTTCTTTAAGAAGAACAAAAACTATGAAGCAATAAAGGAAAACAGTGATAAATTTGACTATCAAAATTTTAAACTTCTGTATGACCAAAGTTAAAAGCTAAGCAACAGACTAGGAGAAAGTAATTTCCAACATATGTATTAAAGAAACAAATAATTTATAGTCAGAATATATGAAGAACTCCTAAAAATCAACCCCAAAGAAAAAAAAGGGCAAAAGATATGAATTCCAATTAACTAAGGCAATAGAATGGCCAAGAAATATTTGAAAAGATATTCATTCAACTTGAGTAGTGTTAGGGAAATGCAACTTGAAATGAGAAACAATTTTTATCTCCAAAGATTTACAAATATTAAAAATATTGAAAAACTCAAGTGTTGGAAAAGATGTGGAGAAAAGGTTATTTTTATGTACTGTTGGTGAGAGTGTAAGTTGGTATGCCTTTTTAGAAAGAAATTTGTCAGTACCTTTTATTTATTTATTTATTTATTTTTGTGAGGAAGATCAGCCCTGTGCTAACACCTGCCAATCCTCCTCTTTTTTTGCTGAGGAAGACTGGCCCTGGGCTAACATCCATGCCCATCTTCTTCCACTTTATATGGGAGGCTGCCACAGCATGACCTGCCAAGCGGTGCGTTGGTGCACACCCGGGATCCGAACTGGTGAACCCCGGGCCTCCCCAGCGGAGCGCGCGCACCCAACTGCTTGTGGCACCGGGCCGGCCCCTGTCAGTACCTTTTAAAGGTTAAAATACATCTACTCTGGATTTAGCAGTTTTACTTCTCAATATCTATCCCTGATGTGCACATGTGCACAAAGATGTATATGGGAAGATTTCATTACATTCGTTGTTTCTAACAGCACAAAATTAGAAATAATCTGTATGTCCACTAATAGTAAATATTTAAATAAACTATAGTACATCCATGCTACATATGTAAAAATTTCTAAGTCTTATTGTTAAATGAGAAAAGCAATTTTTAGGGAGTATATACTACAGTGATTTTCAATCTCATCAGACTGAATGCCCCCTTTTACAACAAATATTTTGTAATGTCTCATTTACTTCACTGGAATGAAATTTGTAGACAATTGCACATGATTCTGCATCATTTCAACCCAAATCAGTACAATACCATAAATGTGCTTTAAAGAAGGAATAATAGAAAGGTAGTTTGTGGTAAAATTTTAAGTATTTTAATATATAAATGCTCAGATTCCGCCATACTAGAAGACATAATGAAGTAATCAAGCACTCACCCCACTATATGTAGATTCACCATAGTTGTAAACATGAGAATGTAAATACTAAAAATGCCAACTGATGTGTGTATGTTGTATTGGTGACTTAAATACCATGGTGGCATTGCCATTGGCAGTGTCATTTTCCAAAATGATGCACAATTCTTGACAAATTTCCAAATAAAACGAAGTTTAGTTTTCCCTTGATTTACACAGTGGTTGAATTCCTGAAAAATTCTGTATATATTAAAATCATGTAAAAGAAGGTTAGGCCGTAGGCTCAAATGATTGTAAGCATGTGTTTCACCTACATCAATGGCCAGAGATTTGTAGGATGCTTCTTTGTCGTGAGGGGCTACCCTGTGCTTTCAGGATGTCTAGCATTCTTGACCCCTCACCCATTAAATGCCAACAGTGGCCTCCAGTTGTGGTAACCCAAAATGCCCCCACTTATTCCCTAATTGCCCCCTGGAGGGCAATGCCATCCCTACTGAGAACCACCATTCTAGATTATTCTAGACTATTCCAAAGCTTTCAGCCTCTTAAAAGCTCACGCTTCTTCCACTCTGATCAAGTTCCTAATTTCATTGGCCTTTCCTTCCTTCCTTGCAGGCTCATCAAACCACCTAAAAGTGAGGCCTTAAAAATATTATATCAAATATTTATAAATATTACGTAGTAGATGAGTTTCAAGAGCTCTAGTCCACGATATTACCAGACCCAAAAGATGTTTAAATCAATATATTTTTCTACACATATTTTGTATGTAGTTGAGAACATGCTATATATACAGTGTTTCACCTGACATTTTATAAACATTTTTGTAGTTTTTTTAAACAGCTTTATTGAGATATAGTTTATTAAAAGCTGAATATATTTAATGTATATAATTTGATGAGTTTATAGGTTTTTGAGAATTCTTCATAAATATTGTTAGCAGCTACATAATATTCTGATATGATTGTACCATTTCATATTTTCTCAATCCCTATTTTAAGATATTTTAGTTGTTTCCAGGTTTTTGCTATTACAAACAACATTGTGATTAACTTCTCTGTATAGAGCTTTTTTTGAATTTTGGATTATTTCCTTAAAACTGATTAGAGTTATTGATTGATCCTCATTGTAACATTTAGGAAACCAAATGCTCCTGTGTTCCTAAGGACAGCTTTTCCCAGGGAAGTCAGGTGGATGTTTATGGGTATTATGTGAAAGAGGGGGTTATTGAGTCATTTATATTTGAAAAAGCCAGATAAACTGATTTCTTTACTTCATGACTTCTCAGCATCTTGAATATACTACTGAACATCATAAATTTTCAAGGAGGAGAGATTTTCAAAATATCTTTTTTCAAAATTATTTGACCTTAGACTATTTCATTCACTAAACAGTTTGGAAAAACTATTATTCAGTGAAACAAACTTTGGAAAACACTTTTTGGAATGATAGGATATTAGAGTTAAAATGGACTTCAAGTGTCTGGAATATGCTAGACCTTAAAGCTCTTTTCAACAACGAGGCAAGTCAAAGACCATCCTTCCTCCCATTCCAAGAAAAAGAGCTTTATGTCCAGTTTACAGAGAACAAGACATCTTCTTGAAGAAGATATGTGATAATATAGAAAGTAAATAAAAAGAAATAAAAAGGGAAAACGTAGGTATAACCCTTTTCTAAAGGTTCCAAATAGAAAATTCAGACCATACTGGATCTAAAACATGAATCGCAGGATCTGGATCTCTTTTCCTTAGAATTTTTGGAGGAATGTGGTAAGATTTTTTTTCTTGTAAGAGTTTCTTCTTTTCTCGCTTTCAAACCACTGTACATGGGCAAAAGTGACAAGGAGAGGAAGAGGAGGAGATTCTCCAAACTAGAGCAGCAATAAGATTCCCCTCATTCAGCTTTTCAGTTTCTGCTGGAATGTGGTAGTGAGTTGGGAACAGGGTCAAGAGGTGAGGCCTCTTTTACACTTTTTTAGTTTTCTAAATAACTGATAACTAGCAAACATATTCTGGGATTAGAATTCTAAGAGTTATAACTAGACTTTCTCTTCTGCTCTTCACTATAGTTATACCTGCACCAGGTAGATTTGAGGTGAGGTCCAAGTTTCCTGAAGGTGAAATTCCATCATGTTCTCTCCTGCAAAGGGTACCTGTTCACCTGTGCCACCAGCTGCCCGACACAACCAAAGGTTATGACTTTATAGAGACAGGACCAAGCAGAGCCACAATTTGGACCCACATGGCGCTGTGTGGCACACCTACTCTTAGCTGCTGCTGCGTGGTGCAGCAGTTTCCCCAAAGACTCAGTCAGGTTCTTTCTATAAGAGGCACTTCCTGTATGAAGAGCTTTGGGTCCTGTGTATTCAAAGGGACCTAGTTTTGCTCTGCCTGGGACAAATCCAGCGAGAGTTCAGCTGGGCCTGCTGTGTGCTCAAAACACTCATGCTGGGTCATTCAGCTCCCCACTGACATTTTGGATACTTCCTTCCTGACTCTCTCCCTGAGCCGGTGGATTTCGTCATTCTTTCTGTCTCTTCCCCAGCTGCAACGAAGAAACTGCTTTTGCTCTGTTGTCTAGTTTGTCTCCTCATTTCTTATTAGGAATACAAAGGGAAGGGAAGAAGGCCTTTATCCTTCGCCTATCTGGTAGTGGACCCATAAAATAAAGCCCCAAATACTCGTTTTCCTGGTTGAGTGCATGCTTGCCAGCCTGCTGGCGCAGAGTTTTCCTGGTTCAACTGTCCTGAGGAATCAAAGGGAAAATGTATAGTTGGTATGATTTTTCAATCCATAGATTAATATGTGCAGGAAATATTGCATGTCTTTGTTTTCCTTAAATTTAATTCTGTTATCAAGACCCCTACCACTATCTGCCTTATTGGTGGGCTCCCCCAAACTCCCAAGATTGTGCAAAGGTATCCAGATCTTATGTTGCACCAAGACGCTGGGAAGGCCCTTCCAGTCATCAGATTGCTTCTCAAACAGCCACTGTCCAATCCTGGCGGTCTCATCAAGTCTGATAGCTTGGGTGTTTTCTTATGACCCCAGAATCTTGGGTGGGGCTTGGAACCTGGGTGTCGGAGATTCACCCCCATGCACCAGGTCACTCCTGAGCACTGGGGAGCAGGACCTCAATGTCCACTCCTTGAGAGACTCACAGTTCCTTCCCCAACCTTCCAGATTCTGCCCTCTCAGCAAGCTGCTGGTCTGCATCCCCTCTACCTCTTGAGTACCCAGCTTAATCCTAATCTCAGGATTTGAGTTTCTACAAAAGATAATGGAGAGCTTTTGCCTTCACATTGACTTGGCTCTCCTTGCCCACTGCCTGGATGTCTGCTTGAAATTGTGAATATGTGAGTATGTATAGAATGTAAAGACCTGATCCAAATTAATGCTGTAAAAAATTATTCTGGGGGGCTGGCCCTGTGGCTTAGTGGTTGAGTGCGCGCGCTCCGCTACTGGTGGCCCGGGTTCAGATCCGGGTGCACACCGACGCACCACTTGTCCGGCCATGCTGAGGCGGTGTCCCACATACAGCAACTAGAAGGATGTGCAACTATGACATACAACTGTCTACTGGGGCTTTAGGGAGAAAAAGGGAAAAAAAGGAGGAGGATTGGCAATAGATGTTAGCTCAGGGCCGGTCTTCCTCAGCAAAAAGAGGAGGATTGGCATGGATGTTAGCTCAGGGCTGATCTTCCTCACACACACACAAAAAATTATTCTGCTGCACAGATTACCTAGCCATTGGGTGGGAAGCAAAACATGTGGCATCCGTCCTGACCTTTACCTGGAGCATCTTCAGGGGAGGGGAGATGGTGGGACACACTCAACCATGGACTGCTGGAGAATAAATCTTTTTTTTTAAAGGTCCTAAATGGATCAAGAAGAAGGGATTCTATCTAAGGAAGAGGGTCTGTAGATTTGACCAGCATTTTGATTAATCTAGGTATATATTTAGAAGCCAGTATAAAGAAATTTGTGTAATATTTAGTAATTAGCATTTATTGTAAATAATCAAACAGAATATTAATTGAACTGAGTGTTAATAAGTAGCTACTAATGTTGAACGCAGTTGGTAAATTGCTTTTAAAGTCTAAATAGTCAGGGCTGGCCCCGTGGCTTAGCGGTTAAGTGCGCGCGCTCCGCTACTGGTGGCCAGGGTTTGGATCCAGGGTGCGCACCGACGCACCACTTCTCCGGCCATGCTGAGGCCGTGTCCCACATACAGCAACTAGAAGGATGTGCAACTTTGACATACAACTATCTATTGGGTCTTTGGGGGAAAAAAAAAGGAGGAGGATTGACAATAGATGTTAGCTTAGAGCTGGTCTTCCTCAGCAAAAAGAGGAGGATTAGCATGGATGTTAGCTCAGGGCTGATCTTCCTCACACACATAAAAAATAAATAAATAAATAAAACTGTTTAAAAAAAAATAAAGTCTAAATAGTCATTCAACAAATCTTTAAGTGCCCTAGCCACAGCCACTGGAGCTAGATTTTTGAGTCATGAAAAAAAGAAAGGATGATTTCCTCCTCAGCCTCAGAGAGAGGCAACAGTTGTCTCCTGGGTTTGGAGAAGAGTTACCAGAATGTACCTTGCTCTCCTCTTTCCCCCTGTCTGTGCCTAGAATGTTTCCTACCCATCCCTCTCTATACCCCAATAATCTGCTCCCTTTGGCTGCCTGGCAAAGTCCTATTCATCTAAGTTTTACCCCAAACTCTCTGTGAAACCTGTCTCAACTGCCCAACAAAATCAGATGTTATTCTTCCTTTATCCCACACTATTTTGTGCACTACCCCATTGGAGCATTTACAGAGTACATTGTTCTTGCTGGTTTACATGTCTGTCTCTGACCTGAACTGTGAGTTCTCTGAGGACCATTTTGGACCATTATTTGGTGCAATGCATTATTCCTAATACTGTAGAGAGGAGACAAAGTTGTTTAAAATATGGTCCCTGTCTTCTAAGAACTTATTAGTCACAGCTGTAGGGCAAGAGGGAGGCAGTTGTAATTGTTTGCCGCACTCTGCCACTCTTCTGGAGGATCCAGAGAAAAGAGTTTCTGGTTATTGTTTTAATATAGTTTTATTATTATTTAGGTATGGTAAGGCAAACAGATCAGGAGACAGCTACCATTGAAAAGATAGTTTGTTATACTCACAGATCCCAACGCAGGCACAAGCCATGCCACGGGGGCCACACAGGGAAGCACCGGGGTCAGTTGCGAGGCAGAGGGAGTTGGGGAAACTGGGCCAGAGCCTTTCTTGTGGTTCCCATGGGAAGGAACAGGTGACGTAGGGTAAGCAGGTTTAGGATTGGGCAATTTGAATAATTTCAGTGTGCTCTGGGGCATAGGTGGCATCCCTGTTATCTAGTAGCTCACCCTGGGGTGATTAGAGCAGGTGGAGCCTGATAAAACAGGTGGTTGGGGGAATGGCCTGGATTGGTTGGCTTGCATTTGAAAAGTGCACTTACAGGCGAGTTGTTTACCATCTCTAGAAATTGGCTAACGTTGGTGGGGGCAGTCCCTCCAGGATTAGCAAGACCCCAGATGTCAAAGTATCAGAATACAGAAAATAAAAGATATGATTAATACAGTTATAAAACTAGGTCCCTGGCTTTCTTCATTGGGTTCCCTAACTCTGGGTGGAATCTCTGAAAAACAGGATGAAAAAAGGAAAGGAAAGAGGGAAGGAAACTTCTCTCTCAATTAGGAGTGCCATCATTTACAGGTAAAACCAACTACATTGTTTTAAATACATAGGGACTAATTTTCCTCACATAACGATACTCCAGGAGGCAGGCTGGCCAAATTGGTGCAGTCATGCAGGGCTCAGCTCCTTTTACCTTCCAGTCTGTTGTCCCTGCTGTCCCTAGCATGTTGGCCTATTGCTTCATGGTCTTGTCTCATGGTCGAGGTGGCTGATCATCTCCAGGTATCATGTCCACATCCAGGGAAGGAGAATAGGGGAGGGCAAAGAGCTGTGCCAACTGCAGCTCCCTTCCTTTCTCCAGGCCCCAGCCAGAGCGCAGGCACCTTCTGCAATGCTAGTCTAAAACAATCTTAATCTCTCTCATTGGAGTACTCCAGGGTTGTTAAAAAGAATGTGGCAACTGAAGATGTACTAATAGGGATAATCTCCAAAAGATAATAAATGAAAAAAGCCACAAAACGGTGTGTTTACTTTGTCACCATTCTCTGCCTTGTGCAAACAGTGATTGAGTGGATCTCTGGGGAGATCTACAGGACAGTGGTAGCAAGTGTTACCTCTGGGTTGGGGAGCTGCATGGCTAGGAGAAATGATTGGGAGGGAGACTTAGTTTTTTCACCATAAACCCTTTTGGACCTTTTGAATTTTGTACTGTGTGCATGTGTACCTGGTGTTTCTATTTTTAGAAATGAATAATTTAAGAAATAAATTAATAATATGCTAGGTTCTACCTTGCTTATACATTTTGTAATGGCTCCTCACAGCCTTCAGGATAAAGTCCAAACTCCTGGTTTTCACATGTACATGGATCACATCATGCTCCTTAGTATTCAAGGCCCTGTGCAATCTGGCCCTTTCAGTGACCTCTCCAGCTGTGTGATCCAGCTGAGCAGATGAAACACAGACACCTGGGTGTGGCCTTTGCCTCCTCACCGTGTTCTACTCATTTTTCAAAACAGCCCAGAAGTGCTTTCTTCTGAGAAGCTTTTTCTGAACTCCCTTTCTAGGGTAATTGCCCTTCTGCTGAGCTTGTATTGTACCCCCGGCATGTTTCTGGTGAAATACTGTGCTAGTCCTACTGGGATTGTTTGTGTGCTCGTCTTTCCCATTACCTGTGAGCTCCTTGAGAGCAGAGGCTATATCCCATTGCAGGGTTGTATCCTGCAGGCTGTATCCCATGCAGAAGCATGGCACAGATTGGGTGTCTAGTAAACATTAGTTGACTGGATAAAGACATGAATAAATTGTTTCTCGATTTATGATACATACATACAACACATATATACACCACTGAGTTCTGGTCACCAACGGAAGATTATAATTTGCAGAATTGGTTTGACAGACTGTTAGAGAAGATTAGAAATTAAAATTTGAGGTTTTAGAGGAAGCTGTCCCCTCTCTGGCTGGTTGAGTTGAACAGTCCTGAAGGCATGGTTATGGTTCACCTCTTCCTACCTCACAGCCTTGGTTTATATGGTTCCTACTGGCCAAAGCCACTGCTGGCAAGGTGGTCTGATAGGACTCATCTGGTGTTTAAAGGCCTTTGAAAATGACTTAATGGTCATTACTATAGTTGGATGCCAGGTAGTGTGCTAAGACGCTTCATAAGCATATCTCCCTTAATCCCCATAACAGTCCAGTGAGGTGGGCACTGTTAATGTCTTCATTTTACAGTAAGCACACTGAAGCTTGGAGAGCTTAGGGAACCAAAGAATCCACAACTATTGAGTGATGGAGGCAGGACGTGAACCCAGGCTGGCTCCAGAGCTTGGGACCCTAACCTCTGACTGGGGAACCCGCTTCTTAGCATCCTCTTTTCATCCCACAGGTGCCAAGCAGTAGGAGGAGTTTCCTGTGTATGTAGTGGCCTGATCTTCTTCACACATCTGTGAGGTCCTGGTGAGCTCTGAATCCCTTCCCTGTTGCGGGCTTGATCCCTGGTGGTCAGAGGACTTAGAAAATCAACTGTGTCAAATGTGGTATAGTACTTCAAAGGAGGGCTCAGATTTCTCACAGGGCCCAAGGTTGGTTCCAGATCTTCTGCTGCCATATAACTGGGGGGTGGGGTTGCTGAGAGCCTGAGGCCAGTTGCTCTAGAGTCAGCCCAGCTGGCACAGGAAAGAGAATCCTGAGATCTTTGAGCTTTTCACGGCCTCGTGCCCTCATCCCCTCATCATAGCCCCAGACCTGAAGGCTCTGCCGCATTAATTGCCTTGGTGATGCCCCTGAGTAAAGGGTACTTATAAGAGATGGAAGGTGAAGAGTTTGAGGGGGTCAATAATTATGTCAATTGGCCAGCCATTTATTAACTATCTGCTCATGTCAAGCACTGTGCCAGGCACTTCACATGCATAATCCAGCAAGGTGGATGCTTGGACCCTATCTCATAGATGAAGAAACTGGGGCCCAGAGGGAAGCAAATTGCCTAAGGCAAATAGCTGGAGTAAGTGATGGTGGGATCAGAACCTAGGTTTCCCTTTTCATTCACACACTTATCTATTGAATACCTTTTATGTGCCATTTCTGTGTGCTTGGGATATCAGTGACCAAAACAGGCAAAAATTCCTGCTCTTATGGAGCTTACATTCTAGTAATACTAAGACACAGTCAACACATATTGTAAGTTATATGATATAACTAGGCATATCATATTCAAACTACAGAAAAAGCAAAGACAGAGAAGTTGATAAGAGCTATGAAAAAATATAGAGCAAAGTAAGGGAGATTGGGAATGCTGAGGGAGCCCATTATAATAAAGCCTTGTTGAGAAGGTAATATTTGAGTAAAGATTTGAAGGATAAAGGAGGTGAGGGAGCTAGCCATGCAGATATTTGGGGAAGAGTGTTCTAGGCAGAGGAAACAGCTAGTGTAATGGCAGCTTAATTCCAAGGTGCCTTCCCTTACACCCAGTGCCTCAAAAGACAGATGAATCATGTGAGAAGACTTCTTTTCTCAAGGAAGGAAAATGCTTGAAAACAGATTACAAGCGAACCAGAGTGAGAGAGATCTGAACCAGTCCACGTAAAACAGCTTGGGGATGGAGACTGATTTCTGGATTCTTGTTAGAAAACAGGCTTCCTTTCTGCCTGTGTCCTCAGAAGAAAAAGGAAATTAATGTAACTGAAGAGGCTGGGGTCATCCTGGTTTTACACCCTTGATTAAACTCTGCTTGCTGTCACACAAGCTGTGGGCTTAGTCTCTGTTTTCCAGGGCATCTGTGATATGCTTTGCCTGGTGCTGGTCCGTTTGGGCCACACAGTAGGGCAGCTTGGATGTGTTCAGGCTCTCAGCTTCCTGGCTAATCTCTGTACTTATCCTGCTTCAGCTGTTCATTGTCTGGTTCCAAGAGAGATGGATCTTCTCAGTGCTGAAGTCTCTGAATCTCCATGATGGGGCACTTGCCTAAGTCAGAGAAGCCTGTTCTCTGACTCTCCATGGAGAGGAGGGCCAGAATAAATTGATGTGAGAGCTTGTGGGCTGACTACTTGCTTGTTGTGCTGCCCAATATTGTGCTCTGGGCTTCCTAAGGATCAGTTCAGGTCAAGTACTTACTGGGGCTACTCTGTGCCAGCCTTGTGCTCTGAGGAATCTAACATGCCCTGATCTCTAGGAGTATACAGACTGCTTCAGAGAGAGACAATTTCATTACATTTTGCAAGTGTCCACCCTGTCCTGGACCCCACCCACCCCTAAAATATAGGATGGGAGCAGGTAGGTACTGCACCCTTTGTGTCATCCCCCTGGGGGAGGTTGTCTGGACCTCTTCCTGTCGGCTCACTGTGAGTCTTACCTTCCCTGGTCCTCAGACCTCTGTTTGGGCCTTGGTGTACTTCAATTTGGGAACTATTTTAGAAAGATTTTTGCTGAAGCATAGGCTTCTCCCTTGGACCCAATTCTGGGATTAGACCTCTGGCTTTTACCCAATGACCAATAAGAGAGAGACGAGAGACTCCTAATTTCTGACAAAAGTACAATGATAGAGGTCTGCACAGGGTTTAGAGGAGGGCTTCTGACCAGCCTAAGGTAGTCATGTAGGCTTCCTGGCAAAGGGGATGCCTGTGTTGTTCTGATTTTCCAACCGGGAAGGCCTTTGGTCTGGGCATATGGTCCAGCCTTAGTAAGGAGACCCCTTGTCCAAATATCCTTTGCCCAAGAATCCTTCTGTTCCCTTCACAGATTGATTCCCAAAAAGGAGATGAGGGTTTTCTTGTCCAGCATGTAAGGGGCTTAGAAGTCAACACTGCGATCCTCACAAGAAAAAAGCTGAACACATTGAAAATCAATTACTCTTCTTAGATCCATCAGAGAATTGAACTTATGGGGCAAATTGCTGCTCATAAAACTGGAGAGACAGGTAGATACAGAGAATCACAACTTACCAAAAGCAAAAGCTCAGGAAAGGAAGCCACTGATGGAGCCAGTACCTGAGTAGGAAAACTTAAACTGTAATTGACAAATTTGTGGAGGCTCTGTGTAGACAAGCTTGCGAGTTAAAAAATTTGGGGGGGGGGCGCTGCCTCATGGCCTAGTGGTTAAAGTTCTGTATGCTCTGCTTTGGCTGCCAGGGTTTGCAGGTTCGGATCCTTAGCATGGACCTACACCACTTGTCAGCAATGCTGTGGCAGTGACACAAGTGAAAAATAGAGGAAGACTGGCACAGATGTTAGCTCAGGGCTAATCTTCCTCAAGCAAAAAAAGAGGAAGATTGGCCACAGATGTTAGCTGAGGGCTAATCTTCCTCAGCACGCAAAAAAAATTGTTAGGGGGCCCACCTTAGGGAGGATCCCAACATCTTTGTAAGTTTTACCTCCAGGAGCCCTACGAGGTCCCCACAGTAGAGAGTAAAGAAAAATCTCTTTGTGTTTCCAGCAGGGGGAATGGAATAGTAGCTATTTTGAAAATACATCCAAAGCATTCTGTTCTCCTTAACATGTCCTATCCTCAAGAGAAACTGTATAACCAGAGCCTAACTTACCCAGGGAAGAGAAATACCCAACTCCAGCCCACTGCAGCCTTTTACATTTGGGAAGGGAAATACCCAAGCCCAGCCCTTTAGCCTTTCTGCCTCAGCTAAGCAGGGCAGGGGTGGGGGGAACCCAACAACTGGAAAACACTTGTGAAGGTCAAAGCCCAGGGGCAGAAGCTCAGTAGAAGACTGACACCTAATTATAGGACTATAGAGTGCTTCCCTTCCCCCAACACCTTACTACCACATCAACAAAGCCCCTGCATAATAATTGGATTACAACGGAAAGAACTGCACATCTCAGACATCATTTAAGAAGTCTCTAGGGAAACACAAAGACAAAAGAGGAGACAAAAATAAGGACACCAGAGGAGATTTTAGCCTCTAATATCTACAGCCATAGCAAACAGTAAGCACAGCCTAACTCCAAGCCAGGTAAGCAGAAAGCCTCACACTAAAGGCCTATTTACCTCAGTTCCTTTTATGTAGTATAGCATGTCTGGCTTTCAGCATATAACTACAAGGCATCCTAAAATAAAAAAAAAACACAGCTTGGGAAGAGCAAGCATCAGAACCAGACTTAGAGATGGCAAATATGTTGGAATTATCAGACTGTGAATTTGAAACAACTGATTAATATACTAAGGGCTATAATGGAAAAGGTGGACGACATGCAAGAACAGATGGGTAATGTAAGCAGAGAGATGTAAAATCCAAGAAACAATCAAAAGGAAATGCTAGAAATCAAAAACACTAACAGAAATGAAGAATGCCTTTGATGAGGTCATCAGTGGACTACACAAGGCCAAGGAAAGAATCGGTGAGCTTGAACATACATCAATAGTAACCTCCAAAACTGAAATGCAAAGAGGAAAAAGAATGAAAAATATGGAACAGAATATCCAAGAACTATCAGACAACTACAAAATGTGTAGCATACACATAATGGGACTACCAGAAGAAGAAAAAAGATAGAAAGGAACAGAAGAAATATTTGAAATAATAATGATTGGAGAATTTTCCAAAATTAATGAAAGATACCAAACCACAGATCAAAGAATCTCAGAGACTACTAAGCAGGAAAAATACCAAAAAATCTACAATTGGGCATATCATATTGAAACTGCAGAAAAATTAAAGACAAAGAGAAAAACCTTGAAAGAAGCCAGAGGGGAAAAATCTTATCTATGGAGGAACAAGGATAAGAATTACATCAGAATTCTCCTCAGAAACCGTACAAATAGGGCCGGCCCTGTGGCTTGGTGGTTAAGTGCGCGCGCTGCAATGCTGGCGGCCCGGGTTCGGATCCCGGGTGCGCATCGAGGCGCCACTTCTCCGTCCATCCTGAGGCCGAGTCCCACATGCCGCAACTAGAAGGATGTGCAGCTATGACATACAACTATCTGCTGGGGCTTTGGGGGGAAAAAATAAAAAAAAAAAAATCTTTAAAAAAAAAAAAAAAAAAAGAAACCGTACAAATAAGAATAGAGTGGAGTGAAATATTTAAAGTATTAAAAGAAAAATAAAACAATGTATAATTCTGTACTAGCAAAATTATTCTTCAAAAATGAAGAAGAAATACTTCCCAGATAAACAAAAATTGAGGGAATTTGTCACCAATGGAGCTGCCTTGCAAGAAATGTTAAAAGAAGCTCTTCAGAGAGAAAGAAAATGATATACATCAGAAACTTGGATCTACATAAAGAAAGGAAGAGTGTTAGAGGAGAAATAAATGAAGGTAAAATAAAATCTTTTATTCTTCTTATTGTTAATTGATCTAACAGACACCAATTTGTTCAAAATAATAATAACAACAATGCATTCAGTGATTATAGCTCATGGGTAAGTGAAATGAATGACAACGATGTTATAAGAGAAGGGAGGAATTGGAAATACTCTGTTATGAGGTACTTGCTCTATCTGTGAAGCAGTATAATGCTATTTGAGAATGGACTTAGATTAGTTGTAAATGCATACCGCAAACTTTAAGGCAACCACTAAAAAAAGTTTGAAAAAATAGTATAATATTGTAAGAGAGGAGAGAAAATGGAATCATGTAAAATGCTTAATTAAAACCAGCGAAGGCAGAAAAAGAGTAGAAGTCAGAAAGGAAAAGATAAAAAGAATGAGGAGAATGGATAGAAAATAGTAAAAAATATGGTAGATATTGATCCAACTATATCAGTAATCATTTTAAATACCAATAGTCTAAATACACAAATCAAAAGACAGAGATTGTCGGAGTGGATTAAAAAAGCAAGACTCAACTATATATTGTCTATAAGAAACCCACTCTAAATATAAAGACACAGATAGATTAAGAGAAAAGAGATAGAAAAAGTTCTGGTGATTGATTGCACAACAGTGTGAATATACTTAAAACTACTAAACTGTACACTTAAAAATGGTTAAGATGGTAAATGTAATGTGGATTTTATCACAAATATTTTAAAAAGAAAAAAATTAAAAGGTTGGAGAAAGATATACTTCATTAACGGAAATCAAAAGAAAGCTGGAGTAGCTATATTAATTTCAAGCAAAGCTGACTTCAGAGCAAAGAAAATTATCAGGGAGAAAGAGAGGCATTATATACTGATAAAAGAATTAGTTCTCTAAGAAGACATAACAATCCTTAATGCATGTGCATCTAACAACAGAGAACCAAAATACATGAAGCAAAAACAGAGAACTACAAGAAGAAATAGACAAATCTACTATTATAGTTGGAGAATTCAACACCCCTCTATCAGCAACTGACAGATCCCACAGACAGAAAATCAGTTAGGACATAGTTGAACTAGATAGCGCTATCAAACAATTAGATCTAATTGACATTTATGGAATACTTCATCCAACAACAGCAGAATACACATTTTTCTCAAGCTCACATGGAACATTCACCAAGATAGACCACATTCAGGGACATAAAACACACCTTAACAAATTAAAAAGTATAGAAATCATACAAAGTATACTCTCAAACCACAATGAAATTAAACCAGAAATCAATAAGAGAAAGATAAGTGGAAAATCCCCAAATACTTGGAGATTAAACAACACACTTTTAAATAACATATGGGTCAGAGAAGGAGTCTTAAAGAAGTAAAAATACATTTTCAACTAAATTATAATGAAAATACAACATCAAAATTGTAAGACGTAGTAGAAGTATTGCTTAGAGAGAAATTTATAGCATTAAATGC